CATAATTCAGTTTTCAGATGAACTGCAGGAAATTCAAACCTACTGGATCAATAAATAAATGCAGCATGGCTCAGAAACAGTGAACAGAGGAGCAAGTTGTTGAAGACACATTCAGCATGGTGAAACATCTTTCTATAGCTGATGAGCAGAGAAGGGAGAAAATGTCTGTAAAGGCTGGAAATGTGGAAATAGTTAAATATCTGTAGAATGTGGAGACTCAGTGTTGGTAACGTCTGTGGCCACTAAAATGTTTGACATTCTAGTTTTTGTTTTTTAAAAGGTGGGAAAAAAACAATCCAAGAGATTAAACTTTTTGTTCATTCTGTGTCACACTGACAGAAGACATTTCTGAGTTCTCTCTCCTTCTACATGGTTGTTCTGTTTCCATCGAGGTGCAGGACTTTGTATTGTAGTGAAAAAAAAAAAGAACCACAGTGAGGAAAAATATGACAGTAACAATAAAAAAGTCTAGAAACTGCTCAGAGTTTAATTAGCCTTGTTCCACTCAGTATTCAAATAAATAAATACTGTAAATAATGACTTGATTGTCTACAAACTAACTTAGAAAGGAAGAGATAAGAAAATATGGAAAATGAAAGAAGGATACAAGCAGGGAATATATGAAAACAACAAGCTGAAGCAATGGAGAGAGAGAACCAGTGGAGAGAGCATGGGAAAAAGTAAACATGAGAAAAAGAAGGAAAAAGGAAAAGGACAGAAATTAAAGTTGACCGAGGAGAGAAAAACTAAAGAAATGGAGACAGCAGGAAGGATGTGAAGGGAAGATAGACGGACAGAAGAGCATACATAGAGGAACAAAAGGCGGAACGAGGAGACATTAAACAAAAGTCAGAGGGGAACAAAGAAGCAACCTGTGTCTCGTCGTCTTTCTTCCACAACGTCACGCTGACGGCGGCCAAAGGAGGAAGCTTGTCGAAGGTCACCTGAAGGGTGTCGCCCGCCGTCGTCACCAGCATCTCCGGCACCGTCATCACCGCTGCACAACATTCACTTTTTAATTCTTTCTTTACAAAACACAACATGTTTCCTCTGTAGCAACAATTCAAGAACAAGATGTGAAGACTTCTCTGCACCGTCCTGCTTTTGTTGTCACTGTTAGTTTATTTAACTTTTTTTTTATTTAGGAGAGACTCTACAGGCAGAAACACTTTTTATTACTATTTTACTTTCATAAATTGCCTTATTTCAGACTAGCAAAGAGAAAACGTGGATTTATATATTTATTTTATTGCACATTGTCTGTTTGAGTCTGTAGATTTCAGTTATATTACATTTCTTTTAAGGCTGTTTTTCTCCCACTGAGATCAAAAACCTCCACTTTAGTTGCACCAAACTCTCCATTTTTCCAGTTCCTGTCTTTGTTTTGAAGGTTTCTACTGAGGGTCTACTGGGTTTGATATTATTCCATCATTCTGTTAGCAAAAATACTTTACCAGGTTAATTATTCTGTTAACGTTTGTCATGTTCTGGTAAGAAAATACTCAAATAAATTAATGATGCCAATAAAAAAAAATATATGTGGAATTTTCGGATACATTTTAAATACACTTACAGTTTTATTATTTTCTAAATTGTCAAGGTTAGTTCATATATCATTGACAGTCTGATTTATAGAGCATTTCATTCCTAAAAACATAGAGGATGTGATTTTTTTTCTACCTCTTGGCAGTATTTTCTGATTTATGGAGTGATGAAATGATAAAATCTCCTTTGGCTTTATTATGTCAACAGAATTAAACAAATATTTTGAGACTAGTTTTAACCTCAAAAAGTCATGCAAATGATTTATAGATCTATAATCTGCATTTGCATATTTAAAAATTAGAAGAAAAAAAAAGGTATTGGAAGAATTTTTAAGATTCTACTCAAGTTTACACCTGGTAAGTCAGACTACCCAAACCCTAACTAGTCTCACTGCTCACATCCTCAATTACCAACCAATGAGGTAGCACTTCCATGAATATGAAGTATGTAATCAACTGGGGAGGCTTCATGGTGATATCTACGAGTTAATCATTTTACTCTGTTCACCTCATTAGAAACCAGCTGTAGAGCTCAGGTCAGATAGTGATGGTGGAACCTTGTCACATATTCTGCTGATGTTAGAGCCTCCAAAGTTGGTGAAATGTCGACCAAAGACTGTATTTTAGTAGGAAAAATGGATCCATCCATATCTATACACTTACAGGAACTTTTTGGGGACACAGCACCACCCTTGTTGGAAGATTTTGCACTTTTTTTTTTTCATTTTCAAGGGTCAATAATTATTCACTACTGCCATTTTGGACAGTTTTAAGTTACATTGGATGGTTTTTATCCATTTTTTCGACAAATTCTTATTCATTTTGCACAGGTTCAAAGTCATTTTGGAGAAATTTTGAGAAATTCTGAACAGATTTCAGAAATATATGTAAAAAGTTGTCATACTTGCCCAATATCAAATTGTCCTGATGTTAGAGGCCTTAAAATTTGGTCAAATGTCGACCAAAGACTGTGTTTGTAGCAGGAAATATGCATGCATCCATATGTATACACTTACAGGAACAGTCAGTCATTTAGATCTGTTGGAAACTATTCAGTCTGTGTCCTCACCACATTTCATGGCTGTTCTATTTCTGGAGATATTCAACCCTTAAAATGGCTTCACAGGTAAAGATATTTTTTTTTAAGGAAAATTCTTAAAATTTTACAGAATTTAGTTTAAGGGCTCAGATAACAAATAAGTGAATTGGGAGCTAAATCTGCAGCAGCATATTCAACAATTTCCCTGAGGTTTACACCAAAGGGATCAATAAAGTTTTATTCTATTCTATTCTATTTCCTGACTGATCCACATGTGGTCCGTCAGGATGCTAAGGTCTTACTGTCTCTCCGGTTGAAGGGCTGGCTGAGGCGGGTCCAGGCTGAGAGCTGCGAGCCACACTGAGCTCTGACCTGCAGGTTGTAGTCGGAGTCGGACCCGAGGTCGAAGCTCAGGTCACAGTGAGTTTCAGGGATCTGCTGGCACTCGGCGGCGTCCACCCAGCTGCCGTTCCTGAGCAGCAGCTCGAACTCTCTGGGGGACGACATCAGACTGAAGGTCAGCTCAGCCACACCTCAGCTGTCTCACTTTATATGTTACACGTCACACGTCCACCATCCTGCTGCCATAAACACTCTCTAGAACACCAGATGTGGATCAATCCACAACAAAATAGTTCAAACAAAACTCATCGTGTTTGCTGGAAATTAAATGAGCCTTTTTAACCCTGTACATGCCAAGCACTAGTTTGTTTTTTTCTTGCTCCTAGTAAAGGTGAATATTTATTTTATAAAAATTTAAAAAAAAAAAAAAAACCTGGAATCAACACGTGCAACATTTTCCCAAGTGTCAACAGATGGTACTACTTTGGACAAACAACGTGTCTCCACATTCTACAGATATTTCATTATCTCCATGTTTCCAGCCTCTACAGACTTTTTTTCTCTACTCTGCTCATCAGCTATAGAAAGATGTTTCACCATGCTGAATGTGTCTTCAACAACTTGCTCCTCTGTTCACTGTTTCTGAGCCATGCTGCATTTATTAATTGATCCAGTAGGTTTGAGTTCTTCTCTGAACACTGCCTGCAGTTCACCAGAAAACTCTTTTTCTCACTTTTTTACAGAGTCTGGTAGAAACAGTTCATTTTTTGTGAATTTTTAAATGAGATATTTAGAATAAAGTGATTCTGGACTTCTTTTTGGTTACATTTCCCAATAGAACAACATGTCACGTATGATACATGAAATGACAACTGTAAAGTTCAAAATACAATGATTGCTACTACGGTTTCTGGCTCTGATAAATGGTGTTATTCTGACTTTGGCAGCAGGTTTTAGGGTGCACTGAGTGAAGAATAAAAGTACAGTCGTGACTTGTTAATCCGACCCTTAACAATCCGAAAACCTTGCTATCTGACAGGTTTTTAGGAAAAACGAACGGAACCCATCACAAATAGCCTTAACACGCCGACAGCCTTGGATTCTGACTCCGACATGACATTTTATGTCACAAATAAGGATAACGGCGTATTATCTGACTGAACAATCCGACAGATTTGTTTCCCTTTGATGTTAACCGACGGGCCCGTGCACAAGCACACCAGTCAGTTAGGCATGAAATCCAGTGTTGCGTGGTGTTCTAACAATACACTAGTCCCACTCATTGAGTGAGTTTGCCCAACTAATTAAGTTTGTTAGTGAACAACTCTACATGTGTGGAACACAGGAAGGATAGGTTTGGTGCTTTGAAGTTCTTTGAAGTATTAAACAATTTGACATGTTTTGACACCTGAACAATTGTATGAACCTATATACTGCTGCTGTATCGGGCTTATCAATCATAGAAACAAGTTGCTTCGATACTGCGCCAGACATCATACGTAAAATTGCATCTACCAAGTTTTCACCAGCGTTGAAGAAGTCACAGACCACGTCGTGCACTGTCATGGAGCGACCGATGTAGTTCATGACGAGTCTTTTATTATGTTTGATATAAATCATAACAGGGGGCACCAGGATCTTTCTGTGTGGAGTTTGCATGTTCTCCCCGTGCAGCATGAGTTCTCTCCAGGTTCTCTAGCTTCCTCCCACACAGTCCAAAAACATGTTGAGGTTAATTGGTGATTCTAAATTGTCCGTAGGTGTGAATGTGAGTGTGCTTGGTTGTCTGTCTCTAAGTGTAGCCCTGTGATAGACTGGTGACCTGTCCAGGGTGTCCCCTGTCTTCACCTTGAGTCAGCTGGGATAGACTCCAGCCCCCCGTGACCCTAGTGAGGATTAAGCGGTGTATAGATAATGGATAGATGGATCATAACAATGTCATATATGTAGATAGTTTATTATAACAACTATAAACAATGAATATTAACAACAAATGACCCATCAAGCATCAAGCCCTCCTTGTATCTCGACCTCCGTCTTGACAATCCGACAGCCTTGCTATCCGACTTAAAAGAAGGTTTTACACTTAGTGAGGTATTATCAAGTCCCGACTGTACCTAATTGCGAGATGTTTTTAAAGAATCTCGCAAGAAGGATTTGTTCCCAAGAAGAAAATGTAGAACATGAGATATACAGCCATGTATCATATAACAGAATCTCTGAATGTCAGTGTCCATCATTATGTTTCTTTGTGTATTTAGCACGCCACGCTATAACAAAACTCCTTTTCCTCTGTGTGATTGTGTAGATTCTTTTGTGTAGCAGAAACCCAATATGTTTTCATGAGGTGCAGTGTAAAGGAGCTCACAATCAGCACCCATAATGATCATAGTAATAATTATAAAGGAACAAACTTAGTTTTAAGAAGAAATGTAAACTGTTTTAATGGCCTGGTGAGAGTTGGGAAGCGCTAGTAAGGATCTTATAGAGGATCTGAAGCAAGCAATCACTAAACATAACATCTAGTCTGATGGACAAAAACCCCAATTTGGGTCTCATCAGACCAAAGAACCTTCTTCCACTTGACTTCAGAGTCTCACAAACGTCTTCTGGTGAAGATTTAATATGAGCTTTTTTCCAACCGTGTCTTTCTCTTTGTCCTATAAAGCTTTGACTGGTGAAGAACAGCAACAGTTGCTGAAGCTTGTAACTCCTTCAGAGGAGCCATAGGTGTCTTGGTGGCCTCCCTCACTGGTGTCTTTAGACTCGACTAAGATGTACACATGTGCCACATTCCTTTCATTTCTTGATGATGGATTTAACTGAACTCCAAGAGATATTCAGTGACTTTGGAATTTTCTTGGAACCATCCCCTGATGTTTTTCATTAATCTTTCCACAGAGTTTTTTTTGAGTGTTCTTCAGTCTATATGGCGTAGTTATATCCTGAAGTACTGATTCTCCAGTGAATGCTACTGAAATCTCAACAGAGCTGTAAAACGTGTTATAACACATGAAGTGCTGCGGTGCTGCTACAAATTATATCTCCAGACGTAAGGAAACATGTCTGTTTGATACAGACAGCAGCAAAAAAACTGCTTCCACTGATTGACAGCTGCTTCTCAGAACCAGAACTCTGCTTATTGCACTTTAATGAATTTTAAATGAAGTGTAATAATGAGTCAGTGTGCTGACAGGTGGAGCCGACCTGTTAGGTGACATTTATGTATTTAGTTCACTGTGTTAACTAAGACGGAGGCACCACCTAAACTCACTCTGCAGGTGTTGTTCAAACTCACATAACTTCACTTTAGACTCTGTGACTGTGAATTCTCAAAGACACCAAACATGTCAGGCTTATTTTTGAGTAAACACATATCAGAATCAGAATGAGAAACACTTTATTGATCCTTTAGGGGAAATTGCTTTCAGTTGCAGATGCTCCCAATCAAAGTCTTAAAGTACTAGGAAATATATAAAAATATAAAGTGAAGGTCAGGAATATTTTATTTTAACTCTTTCATTTGTTTAAGCCTTTAAGTAGTTTCTGGGCCTTTTTGCTCCTGTTTTTTCATCACTGTGGCTCATTTTTCACTGCAATATAAAGTCCTGCACCTCCATGGAAACAGAACAACCATGAAGCCACCGTGTCCAAGCTGCATCTGATATTAAAATATTAAAAAATACTCCTAAAAACCTCGAACTCTGCTCACCTAAACAGAGAAATGTTTTGAGAGAACCATCGTAATGTTCCTGAGAATTACCTGAGATTTTAATTTTGACCCTGTGACTGAACAAAGACACAGCTGCTGAGTAATTAATTCAACAGGTGTGTCTTTCATTTCTCTGTTCTCTGTTGTGACGTGATTCAATCGCTCAAACACCTGCAGCGTGTTTTTCTAACCACAATAAATTACAGGGACCAGCTGCATATTTCACATATTTACGAATTGTGCAGTGATGTCTTCATAGGACGCTGATGAAACTTGTTTTTACAGCTGCTGCATTTGTCAGAGCTGAAACACTGATTTCATTTGTCAAGCTGCTGAATAAATCAGCAAAATGTCTGATAATTTGTGAGTTAAACTTAAAGCGAGACAATACAGGTAATATATGCACCTTTTTCATGCATTTTTTTGGTCAGTTTTGGATTATTTTGCTTTTTTCAGGCTAATAAATGGAGAAAACTACACATTTTAGTGTTTCTGTTACTGTATTTATGCAAAGTCATGCTTGTTTATTGAGATGATACCTCACATTTGCAAATTTAAATTTTAAATTTCAGAAAATGTAATATAAAAACTTAATCATCTTCATGTAAGTATCAAGTGAGGAAGTTTCAGGGGGTTTCTGTTTGTTAAAACAGTGATTCATAATTATACCATTTTCAAATACTCACTGTGACTTTGAAGGATGTTTTCTGAACATGAGTTTTTTCTCCAACTTTCAACCTTCCAGTTTCTTTTCTGTCATTATTCTGAGAGGTTTCATGGAGCGGTTTGTTCAAATATTAATCACAACCTGAATTATAGAAAGTTTGATTCCATAAAACATGCTGAAAATGGCCTCTTTTTTATGGACAGCTTTTCTGGTTATTGGGCTGATAAAAAAGTGAACAAAATGAATTTTTATGCAGATTTTTTTTTTTTTTTTTTTTGAATCTGATTGTCAGATTTCTACTCTGGAAATTCATGCAAATTTTGACATTTTATTTACACAATTCCTCATTTGGGTACTTAAACTTATGTCAGGAATGAACTTGAGGAGGTTTTATGTTGATATTTGTTAGTTTTCCTGTTTCCTCTGTTCACCTGCACCTGTAAAACTCAATAATGTCGTCAGGTTTACTGTCTCCCTGCCTCTTCTGTTGAAGGGTTCTATATTATTCCAGTCTTAGAGTATTTTACCACCTACATTTTTCTATAAAGTTTTTTTTATCATGTTTACAAGATAAGGTTTAGTGACATAAACACATTTTTAGAGACTTTCCTTTATGTGATATCGTCTTTTTTGTTGCTTTTGTCTTTTCATTCGCTTTGACTTCTGTCTTTTGTCTCCTTTGCACTTTGTAGACTCTTGTTTCTAAAGGTGCTCTACAAATGAAGTTGTTAATATAGTTATTATTCTAACGTACCCCTGGTACTGGACGGAGTACAGGACGGTAGTGTTGCATGAAGCCTGCAGGGGGCGCCACCTCAGTGTGTGTCTCATGTCCACAGAATCCATGGAAACCTTTTTGGGAGCCGGCAGCATCCAAATATCTGCAGACACATCAAGATCTTATATGAAATCACATCAGATATCGGAATACAGACCAGATGTATTATCATTCAGACTCGCTGAGTCCTAAATAACATAAATACAGGCATATTAATAAAAGGCAAGAATAAAATGAACAATGAAATGAAAAAGTTAATAAGGTTTTTAAAAAATAGACAATAAAAATATTAATAATAAAAATATTTTTAAAAAATACAGAAATGGAGTTAAAACCAGAATGTGTGCCTCTGAGTTCATATCTGACCATAGAAATGATTCGACCATCATTCTTCCTCAAATGTATTCACACCCTTCCATTACAGAAAAGGCAAAATTCACAATAGTCACCCAAGTAACTAGAAACTGATAAAAAGTAATAATAAATAAAATAGAGATGCACGATATTAAAATTTCTGGTCGATACCGATATCCGATATTCAATTGTTGTTCATACGGAAAAATGAGTGTAAGTAAGCACTGTGAGAATGTAAAAACTGTTCAAAAGAAGCCCATACCAAATTAGACCACATAGTCTTCTTCATTACGTAACAAAAGTAAAACAAATTCAAACATATTTTAAAATATTTAGCGTTCAAGTCCAGGACCATTTAAGTGAAAACATCTGTGAAATAGCAGCAATATCAAATGTAGAGTCGAATCAAATCAAGTTTATTGTCATTTTGCTGCACATACAACAGACGTACAAACAAGATGAGAGAACGTTTCTTCAGGATCCAAAAACTAAAAGCAATTAAATAAAGAAGTGTTTGCTTATTAGGGTCAGCAGTTCAGCATTCTGACAGCTTGTGGCATAAAGGTGTTGATCAGTCTGGAGGTTCTTCCTTTAATGCTCCAGAAACGTTTGCCTGATGGCAGCAGTTCAAACGGTTTATGCAGAGGATGTGAGGAGTCCCTGGCAATGTTCAGTGTCCTGCTCCTGCAGCGGCTCTGGAAAAAGGTCAGAGCTAGATGTCTGTCTGTCTGCCCGGAACAATGTCGTCCCCTCCAGCTGTATGTCCGTCTGGGATGTTGTCATGGAGCCATGTTTCTGTTAAAGCAAACACACAGCAGTCCCTCCACTCTCTGTGGGTTCCTCTCAGCAAACGTAGCTCGTCCAGCTTGTTGTTGAGGGAGTGGACATTGGAGAGTAGGAGGACGGTCCTGCTGGTCTGGAGGGGTTAGCCTTTAGCCTAGAATGGATCCCAGCTCTCTTCCTCCTCCTTTGTTTACGTTCGTACCGTTTGTACTTCCTTCTCTCTCAGGTACCTGCTGGCGTAGTCTCCGATCGGACTCCGTGTTGGTGTAATATGTCCAAATCGCAACCGAGCACCGCAATTTTAGCGACGTTCTTTGTCCTGATGTTCAGCAAAGTCTCTCTACTGTAAGTTTTGCAGAATGAACGTCTGGGATAGACAATACACTCAAAGCTTTCACTCTCGCCGTCTCCTGAAGGGGCCACTACGTCTATGCGTGCCGCCATCTCTATGGAAATGAAGGCGCCAACATTAAACAATCGTCAGTTTTTCACATCGGCTGAATTGGCTCATCGGACCGATACCGATATGTGGGAAAAAACACAAATATTGGCCGATACCAATGTGGTCGCCAATACATCCTGCATCCTTAAAATAGTTATTTGCTAAATTATAATTTAGTGAAATAAGACATTACTTTTGAATTGTTTCCAAAAAAAAAAAAAAAAAAACAGACAAAACTTTCCCAGACAAATTAAAGCACTGTGCTGATGAGTCGTGCGCCAAAATCTAAATACCTGCCAACAGGGGCAGAAGTCTGACTGAGAGTTACAGAAAACACTTGATTGCAGTGATTGGCTCAAAGAGTTATTCAGCTAAATATGCTTGCCATCGTGCTTGTTTGCTTGCTTATTTTTTTGTTAAATATTTCTGTTGAACCACAATTCAAAATCAATGTCATGATTTTCATTTATTTATTATTCCTTCTGTCAATTTCAACTTATTTCGGTGACAGCTGTTTTTTTCCTTCCTTGATGGGAGGGTATGAATACATTTGAGGACGACTGTATCTCATCTACATGGAAATGAACACACTGCAGACTTCACTCTGGCTAATTAACACTGATAGAATAAACCTTATGAAATTTTTTTTTTTTTAAATCTAGTAATTTGTGAAGTAACTTGTAAATATAGCAGTTTTTTGTTTTTTGTTTTTTTTTTTTAAATCTGTCTTTATATCAAATACTCAGTGAGTTTTTGAATTGTCCCTAGGGTATAAATAAAGTTATTTGAATTGAATTGAAATAAATGTTTTGGTGGGAAAATACACTATTTCCCACTCTAAAATGTACCTTTTGTTATTTTCTACAGTTGAGAACAAAACTGAACATATTGTCAATATGAAATTTCACATCTGGCTTTAAGTAAACCCAAATATGTTTCATATTTCAGATAAACTTGATGACAGCTTTTCACATTGGTGTCAGTGTGTAAAGCAGAACTACAAAGAAACGCAAAATGACACAAATAGACACAAAACAGCTGCAAAGAGAAAAAAAAGAAGAAGAAAAAAAACAATGGCAAAGACACAACTCAAACCATTAATGGCTCAGTAACAGACTTGTGTAGAACTTGACAACAAGCTGTTGGAGATCCATTAATGTGAGTCAGGTGTGTTGTAGTACGGAAACGTCTAAAAGCTGCAGGATAGCAGCTCACAAGGACCTGGTTTACATGTATTTGTATCTGTTTTAAGATGTCAGACACAAACACACTGCAGCTCATTTTTTGATTCCTGATTTCTTTTGATGAGACTGTGGTGGCATCAGTGGTCTCTTATGCAGCAGTGTGCTGGGGAGGGGGGTGCTCTGAGCCAGCTCAGTCTGTGGCTGCCCCTTGGACTCCATTGAGGTGGTGGGAGAGAGGAAGGCACTGGCCAAACTGTCTGCCATCTTAGGAAACACCTCCCACCCTCTGCATCAGACTGTGAACTCCTTACGCAGTGCTTTCAGCGACAGATTGTTACACCCAAAGTGTAAGAAGGAACGTTTCCGCAGGTCCTTCATCCCAACAACAGTCAGACTTTACAACGCTGCACTATAGACTCCACTGGTACTGCTGCACTTTTTCTTTTTTTCCACCAACAAACACATTCCACTATGTGTAATAACCATTTCTAACTCATCTTTGTGTATATAGTTTTCTTTAAAAAAAAAAAAAAAACAAACATCTTCTGTACATAATGTTCTTTTCTCTTGCAATTTTTGCACCGTGTGTTTTCTGTTTTTCTGTTTCTGTTTCTTTCCTACATTTTGCACTGGGTGTTCCCAATTATTCTTGCACTGACTGTACACTTTTTTGGAGCTGTTGTAACAGTGAACTTTCCCCACTGTGGGATCAATAAAGTTATCTTTATCTTTATCTTTATCTTTATTGAGCTTGTCACCAGAAGCCATTTCTAAGAGCCTTAACGCAGATTTAAGGACTGAGACAAAGTGAACTGACCATTTGGGAAGTCCAGCAGGATCACCATCATCAGCTTACTCACAGTCCACCTCAGCGTCATGACCACAGGGTTCATCGCAGCAGAGAAAAACAGATCACGTCAACTCCTTCATGTCCGAATCCCTCCAGTCAGCTGCGTGTCAACCGATCCCCAGAATAAGATACGATCAGCAAAGAAAACCTGGATACGCTGAGAGAGTTTAGCACATTTCTGGGTGCATCACTCAGCTCATCCAAGAGACAAATAGAAGCTTTAAATCCACTGTGATGACGGTTGAAATCCCATCAAACTGCCTGTTTAAGGGTCACATCTCCTCTAAGTCTGACAGTGGCGTATTGGAAGTTGCTGTGCAAACACATAACTGGAGTTGTCTTTGTCTTTGTGAAGCCGGTGTGTCCGGATGCTAAGGCTCGATTCAGGGCAGCCGAGCCAGTCGGACTTGTTGTCAGTTCCCCCGAGGCGACAGCTGTCACAGGTAATTTACAGGTTGAGCAGAGCTGCTGCTAAGAGTTTAGCCTCTGTGTTTTTGTTGTGCATGAGCAAGAAAATGCTTTGCCCACAAGAAAAGTCATGGTCCTGGTTTCTTCTGCAGAATAACTCTAAGCTAAGTTAGTGTAAGTGCTCAAATGTGGGGTGTTGTGTGTGTGTGTGTGTGTGTGTGTGTGTGTGCGTGTGTGTGTGTAGGTGTGTGCGCGCGCGTGTGTGTGTGTTGTTGATAGATTCAGATATTTTGCCTCACTGACAGGCTGCTATGTGAGTGTGAACAGTTGACACCGCAACTGTGATTTCTACCAAAACTACTGCAAACAGATACAAAACAACAAAGACACACAAAACCACTGCAGAGACACAAAACAACAGCAACAAAGAGACACAAAATAACAACAAAGACACACAAAACCACTGCCGAGAGACACAAAGTAACAACAAAAACACACAAAACAATTGCAAAGAGACAGAACAAAAAAAAAACCACACAAAACCATTGCAGAAAGACACAAAACAACAACAACAAAGAGATGCAAAACCACTGCAGTTAGACACAAAATGACAGCAACGAGATGCCAAAAAATAATAATAATAATAATATGAACACACCAAACAATTGCAAAAAGACACAAAACGTTCTTCAAAGCTGAGAAAAAGCTGTGACTGACCGTAGAGACGCATGTTCCACTGTGGCCTTAAAATGCAGCTGAACTGATCTCAGGAGGAATAATTAGTTGATTTCATTTTATAAATGTTGTTGCTAAGTTCTGAAATTTGCTCAGTTGTTACAGCTGCAGCTCCAGAGGACCAAACTCAGTACATCAACATGTGCTAGTGATGAAAAACACACCCAAGACGTTACTTTAACAAGAAGTTATGACAAACAAAAAAATCAATTAAAAATAAACAAGAAAATAAATGGTAACGAAGGGTGAAAATAACAGCGAAAATCTGAAAGGTAATGATATTTTTCGGCTAATTTACATCAAGTGAAAATAGTTAAATTTATGGTCAAATGTTGTACAAGAAAAATAATGATTATTTTGAAAAATACATCGACTGGAGGATGAAATAGTTGAAATGAAATAGTACTTTTCAATTTTAATCTACACAATTTTTCTTTAAAATTACAGCAATTATTTGTAAAATTATGATGTTTTTAACTGATTTAAATGCAGTAAAAATAGTGTAAATTACAATCATATGTATACATATGTCACATGTATTTAAACAAACAAAAAAGCAAATCACCATTTATCAAAACACAGACTTCAACAGACTTTGTGGACATTCCTTTTACAGTTTTGGCCTGTTTGTTTGTTTGTTTGTTTTACAGTTAACATTTAAATTTATTTTTTTGCTGGGATTTTTGCTCAATATTATTTGCAATTTCATAAACAGGAAAACAAAATCTGTAAAATAACAATTAAACAATTATTTACCATTTTTAAAATCCTTACTCATTTTTGTTTTAAATAACAACAAATATCTGTAAAGTAATAATGTTTTACTGATTTAAATACAGTAAAAAATAGTGTAATTAATTGTCAAATGTTGTAAAAGAACAATTTATTATTTGTAAAAGTACAGATTTTTAATCTGTACATTATTTAATAGTTTCTTGGATGAAGCTGACTCACACTGAACACAAACGTTTATAATACGTCACGCTAATATCACGTTTTTATTACCCTGACAAACTCTGTTCAGTGGAGGGTATTGCAGAGAAGGTGTGCTCGATTTGCTTACCCTGTTGTCCAGGAACGATATTAAGATTTCGTGCACACATTACTTCGTGGCCACTATTTAGCTATAACGTGAGAACGAATTAGTATTTCGTTGGAACAAAGCAGTGTTTCGTGCGCACGAAATACTACTTCATGCACACGTTATAGCTATATTGTGGCCACGATTTAATTTTACTTTGACCATGTCATGTCTGGGGCTCCATCGTTCACACACTGGTGCAAAAAAAATAGAATGGAATAGAATAGAATAGAGTTTCTGCGTGGAGTTTCCATGTTCTCCCCGTGCAGCGTGGGTTCTCTCCGGGTTCTCCGGCTTCCTCCCACACAGTCCAAAAACATGTTGAGGTTAATTGGTGATTCTAAATTGTCTGTAGGTGTGAATGTGAGTGTGCTTGGTTGTCTGTCTCTAAGTGTGGCCCTGTGATAGACTGGTGACCTGTCCAGGGTGTCCCCTGCCTTCACCCTAAGTCAGCTGGGATAGACTCCAGCACCCCATGACCCTAGTGAGGATTAAGCGGTGTATAGATAATGGATGGATGGTGAATAGAATAGAATAGAACTTTATTGATCCCTTTGGTGCAAACTTCAGGGAAATTGTTGATTTTGTTTTTTGGATTATCTTTACGTTTTTGAACACATTACATTCACATTATCTAGTAAGGAGTAACTTAGGTTAACCCCTTTTCTTCATTTTTCTTATTTTCAAACCTATTTGCCTATATTTTCTTGACAACACAATTTGCTGACCAAAAACGTCCATCTGCATATGTAACTGATGATAGTTTGACACATTCAGTGTGTCAAGGATGTGCAGAAAAAAGAAATATGATGAGAGAATAACATTTCCTAAATATTTAACTTGCAAAAACAACAACAGTCAACAGCAATGATAGAAACATTAAAAAAACAGCACATTAAATTGGTTCAATTTTAAACTGAGTGTCCGACAGGTTTCTCAACAGCAAGAGACGTTTTCTGATAGTATTAGAACAAAGCAGATTATTGGGGCTTTTCTATTTAATGTAATCCATCTAATGTAATTTCGTAAAGGTTTCTGTTGAGTATTCTGACCCAGTTTAATAATCTTGTGCTGCTTCCCTGGATACTGAACAGAAAGAAGGTGAAGCGTCAGACTTTGGACTTTCATGATGATCAAACATTAACTGTCACCAACCATAAAACCATAAAAACTCAGATTAACCCACACAAGCTGCTTCTTGTTGTTTCACCCTGAAACCAACACATAGACGAGTACATTGACTTTTTTAAAAATTCCTTTTGTTCACAAAACTATCAGGCAGTGATGTTTAGAGTTTATTTTGGTGGTTAAATGAATGATTTCTAACGATGACAATGAGATGATTTCATTCTGAGACACTCTTCTTTATTTATTTGACCTTTATCGGAACATTTCTTTTACTTCTCCTCGGCTTCATTTAAGGAAACGTAAAAAGCGAACTTCAGTTTGTGGTTCAGTGTTTTGAAGAGTCTTAGTTCCCTCTGACGCAGATCATTTGGTTGAAACTTGTCATAGTTTCAAAGCAATAACTTCTTCTGGGTCATTTGATTTTAGTTTCTGTTTTAGCACCATAAACACTTCTTTTAGTTATCTGAAGAAAACTTTACTTGAATGGTATTATGTAATGATAATATGCAGCGTTAATACCAGTGTTCTCTATCAAGACGGTTATTTTCTGACCTGAACCTCTCTAAACATTCAGGTTAGGTTAAGGCTGCTACAGCTTGACTTCTCAGACTTCTTGCTTAATGTGGCAGCGAAGAAATACGTCAGCAGCACAGTTCTGTCCCGAACCGCTGACTTGCTTTGGACGCAACTACGTTGAAACTGCAAATCTCATTTCAGTGAGTCAAAACTCGATCATTTGACTGGTCAAAGCTTGATTCATTCATCTAAAAAGGACAGTGTAGATATGTGGTATTTGGAGGAATCAAAGATATCTTGAAGAATTCCGTCTGGTCAGAATCTGAAACCGGAATTATAACTAGTTATGAGAATCCTCAAGCACATGAATGGCAAAAGTGACGTAATTTGTTAGAAATGGATATCTGAAGTGTGTTTTAGATAGGAAGGACTGCATTACAGCCTCCCGTCCCGGTCCACACAAAGACCAGTGCACACGGTTGTCGAGGTTATCTGAGGTGTGGCTAAGGACTCAGTCATCATCATCATCATGATCAGTACCTGGTAGGTGGTGAGGGGGAACTACAGGGAGCGGCTCCACACTTTTATGACCCTTTCAGGGTGTAAAGTCCTGATGTTGAAGCCACAGACAGCACATTATCAAGAACCAACCAAAGGAGACAGAACAGAGCCTCCAACAACCCCAACCGAGGCTTCAACGTCCAGGACAAGGCCTTGAGACGTTGCCACTTTCTGAAGGTTTCTTTGTTTTTAGTCTCTTGGCAGCAGTCAGATTCTCTGTGGTTTCATTTTAAGACAGTTTTAGGAAACGCTGCAACCATGTCGACGGCTGTGGAAGCAACGGGGTTCATCATGTGCGTCATCAGCTTTCTGGTCACCGGAGCATCGCTGGTCAACGACTACTGGAAGATCTCCACCGCGTACGGCAGCCTCAACATCGCTTTGAGGCATTTTGAGAACTTGTGGCACTCTTGCACCGAGGACAACACCGGCATCGCCGAGTGTCGGGACTTCGAGTCTCTGCTCGCCCTCCCCGGTAAGATGAGTCCAAGTCCTCCATATGAATCTGTGGTTGTTGTGGGTTAATAGATACGCTGATCCAGTCTAACAGTAAATTTAATGTCAGCCTTTGTAAGTTTACAGACAAATTACGACTCTTTAGATGTTATACTTTAAAAGACTACTTTTTAAAAATAGTAAATGTTTGTAAGAAGCATGAAATGAGAGTTAATTGTCTTGTGAGGTGAGACAAAATGAAAATATTTTCGCTAAAGTTTGAATTTGCTGTTTGTCTAGAAAAGATTCATTAAATTTTCTGGTTTTGAAATGAAATGATCTGAAACATTTGTAAGGTTTGCTTTACTTTTCGTGAAACAAACACATTTAGGATCAGTTAAGTGGTTAAAAAGCAACAAGGTGAAGTTTGTCTTTTACATGACATTAGAAAGTTCGATAATCTGCGAGGATTGAACAGGGGCTGAACTTTTTGAAAGCTCATCAGATAAGTTTCCCAGAAAATAGGCCAGCGTGTCATGTAGCACCATTTCTGAATCCATTGTCCAAAGGTTGGTGGATTTCACAGTCACAAGTTTCCCGCCAAAATGAAATAAAGATCAGTTAAACTGTTTCAACATCTTTATTCTATATTTATAATAAACAGTTTATCACCAGACTGTTTTTTTACTCCTATAATCACCATATGAGATGATGTAAGATTCACCATATAAGATGATATAAGACCATCTTTTAGGCGCCATTTTGAGCTTCCTCCTCTGCTGGCAGCAAAATGGAGGGAAAATGGGAAACAGAAGCAGCCAGTTGTGTTGATTTTCCTTCACTTCAGTTCAACTTTAACATATTTTTACTGTGTTAAGGTTGAAAAATATCTCATTTTTTAGTCGTCTTGTGGTTTTGTTTGGTGGTAAAAACATTCTAATAGCTGTGGAAGATAAATTCATCTCTCCAACAGTTTTCCTTAAAATTAAGAAATATGTCACGTACTGTACATACACTGTAAAAACACTGTTTTCAATTGGAATTTAAAAAAACAACAATTTACTGTTATTTTACATATTTTCCTTGTTCTTTTAAACAACAGATAACATCTTGTAAAACCACACAAAAAAGTACAAATGTACTTTTTACCATAAGAAAACAAATCCAACATCTGTATTTTTACAAGTAGTAATTGCTTTATATATATATATATATTTTCACACTTTTGAATGTTTTGTTTTTTTGTTGTTGTTTTTTTTTTTTTTACAGAGTATAATATCTTTGGCTTAACATCAACGGTTACATCAGCTGGTCTTGTGGATCATTTTAGGCACATTTCCCCAAAACTCACCTGTTTTGGTACCTTTAGAAATGTCTGGATGAGTTTGTGAAGCCAGAACTGTGCTGGACAGACGGTTCACCCGTTTAAAGACAACATCAGAGTTAATTATTACACCTGGTCATGTTTCAATGTTCGTTGAGGCCAGACTCTTCATCCGTCATCACACTGTGTGGTTTCACTGTTCACTGTTCGTTCTGTTGAAACTCCCTAAAGCCCATAAAGAGGCGCGGCAGGTTTTTATGATCAGAGGTCAGTTTGTTAATATGTTACTGCACCAGCTGTAAAACACACACACAGCATTACCTACAAGTTCTTACTTTTATTAAAACAAATTAGATTTTTGACAAAGGAAAAGTTTTAAACGTGTTAATCAGTGAGTTTAGAGGTGCTACTTGGTGGATTTTTCCCTCCATGTTTCCAGCCTTTACGCGAAGCAAAACTGTAGCTATGAGACAGGAAGCGATCTGAGTAAGTCTCAGAGAAAGAAGCTTATTTCCCCCCAAATTACTCTTTTAACTGTACACTGTAAAATTCAATCCATACACAGCATGTGGAAATCTAAAATGTTTGAAAATAGCATTTGAATACTTTCACATTAAAAAACTGTGAGAATAATCACAATTACCTGTAAATGATAATATTTGTTTCAATAAAGTAAAATAATGTAATTTTATGGTCACATAGTGTAAATGAATAATGGCAAATGATATTGTTTGGAAATTGACATACAGAAAAAAAAAAGTATAATTTTTAGGTCAAATGTAGGTGTATAGATTTCTGATGTGGACATTTTTTAGGGTTTTTGGCAGGTTTTTTTCAGGGATAATGTCTAAATTAATACTTCTTTCTGTAATTTGACTGGTTATTATCTTTAACAAAACAGGGAAAATCTGTAAAACAATAATAAATAGTTGTTTTTTGTTTTTTGGGGGGGTTGTTTTTTTAAAAGTCAATTCAAAATTGATGTTTTTGCTGTTGTTTTTTTTTTTTTTTACCTAAAACAAACCCTCCACTTCAGCAGTATTGGCTCATTTTTCAATGCAATATAAAGTCCCGCACCTCTGTGGAAACACAACCACCAGGAAGAAGGAGAGAGAACTGTCTTGTGTCAGTGTGACACAGTTAGAATGACAGAAATCTTAAATCACAGCTGAGTCAGTCATGAAGAGTCAGTTGCACCAACAGTGCAAAAGTTTTTTGGTTTTTATAAAATCTGGTGCCAGCTGTTTATTTCGGGAAATGTTTGAATGAGACACGTAGAATGTAGATCTTGATGGTATATCACAATTTTAATCCTGTATTTGGGTAATTTTCCCAACAGAACAGTGCGTCACACATGATATGTTCAAGGGCTGTAGGTCGGTTGAAAATCTGATGATTCTTTCTGTTTTTGTAGTTCGTGGGTAACAAATTGTGGCATTTTAACATATTGGTTTTTGTTTGTTTTCAACGAAAACTAAGTTTAAACAAGTTTCTTCTTATGAACTCTTTTCACTGTTTTTTAAAATGATTATCCTCCCTGCAGCTCACGTTCAGGGCTGTCGCGCTCTCATGATCATCTCGCTGCTGCTCGGCCTCGCCTGCATGGTCGTGTCGCTGCTCGGACTCAAGTGCATCAAGATCGGTTCGTCCACCGACCAGTCCAAGGCCAAGATCGCCGTCACTGGAGGCATCCTGAGCATCCTCAGCGGTGAGTCGATAAAAAAGACTCAGATTCAGGTTTCCTTTAGTGCTCACCACGACTCACAAATGGTGAAGTCTGGAGACTGTTGTTGCCAGAAAATTAGAAAAATCACAAAAAATGTAACAAAAATAATCATGATTATATACATACATATCGATTATATATAAAGAAACCTTCACTTTGTATTGTGCTCTTCTTTGCCATGTGTTTATTAAAAAGAAGTTGATGCAAAAATGAATTTAAAACATCAGATATTGCCTTCAAGCACCTCTTTCTATTGATGTGCAGCAACCAGAGATGTTTAAGTGCATATATGTCGGTGTGAGGTTACATCAGTATCCTGAGACGATCAAGGCATTTTTAACTGAAAGATATCAGCATGAACCTATGCCAGCTCCTATGTTTAGGTCCACTGTCACACAGATGATGTAAATTTGAGCATATATATATATATATAAATAACTGCAGTATTGTCAATCAAAAATGTATATGTATAATATAGTATAAGCTGCACTTGATACTTGTTTTGTGTGAAAATTCTTATTTTAATCCAGGTATTCATAAAAGCTCTGTCCAGACGTCATTAAGTGTCATGGAATTGTTTGTCATAGTGACCCTTTACCAGCTGAACTACCAAAATACACGCATCCAACACAGAATTGCCTTAATCCTCTGGTTGCTCCAGTATTAAGCATTAAATGGTTCCATCTAGTGGCGCAGTCAGGTACTGCAGCTCTGTGTCAAAGTCAATATTATTGACTCAGATTAAATCAGGGGCGGAAAAGTTTGGTCGGGACATCCAGAACTGAAACACACTTACATCTAACAGAAAACAGAGCCAGGAATGTAGGAGTATTCAGTTACAGACACATCGCTACGGGTCACGGCCAAAGAAAAAGAAAACACACACACACACACACACACACACACACACACACACACACACACACAAAGGTTTGTAACTCAGACAGCTCCGTGTTAACGCATGTTTTGTGCATTTGCAGGTCTGTGCCCCCTGATAGCTTGTTCTTGGTATGCATTCCGAGTGGTTCAAGAATTCAATGACCCATTCTACGGTGGAGAAAAGTGAGTCGAGCCACACCGTCTGATCTAATTCAAACATGAATGTTCTCCCTGTGCAGTGTGGGTTCTCTCCGGGTTCTCCGGCTTCCTCCCACACAGTCCAAAAACATGTTGAGGTTAATTGGTGATTCTAAATTGTCCGTAGGTGTGAATGTGAGTGTGCTTGGTTGTCTGTCTCTAAGTGTAGCCCTGTGATAGACTGGTGACCTGTCCAGGGTGTCTCCTGCCTTCTCCCTAAGTCAGTTGGGATAGACTCCAGCCCCCCATGACCCCAGTGAGGATTAAGTGGTGTAGAGATAATAGATGATGGATGGATGATCCTGACAGTTCACTTTGCAGTTTTTGGTGCAGTAAACTAATATAAAAAGGCTTCATTTTAAAACATTTTTAAGATGTTAGATTTCAATGATGATAAATTACATTAAAACATCTGAAAATTTCTTTGATCAATTTGCGAAGCATTTAAAGATTTCACCTCCTGTTATTTGTCATTTTAGACTCATTGTGCCTATAGGCAGAGGTAACAAATATGTTAAATTAGAAGAGCTGCTTTGTTTTTGTGTACAATAAAATATCTTCTACACCTTTTAATATTTTTTACTACAACTGATTTTTCTGCGAACATTAAAGGAAGCTTTGAGGACACTTTAACATTTTTTTGCACCACCGAAACATCATTTTTTAATCAAAGCAACAAGAAAATTGTTTTCATTTCTCAATTTAAGCCAGTGAATTGTCTTCAATTAGTTTTTTTGTGCATTTAAAGGCGACTGACAAATACATTTGAAAAATTTATGTTTAACATGTAATGATAGAAGTGTCTTGTTCAGTTTTTTGTTCCTGTGATGTTTACATTTGAGTTTATTAGGGGTTAAATGGAGGGCTGCAACTGTGTTAGTGTAGCCACTCAGGTTGTGTTACAGAGCTGTGCTTGTGTGTTTGTAGGTTCGAACTGGGTACTGGTCTGTACATTGGATGGGCTGGAGCCGCGCTGGCCATACTGGGAGGAGCTTTTCTCTGCAGTGCGTGTAAGAGAGCGTCACCCGGTGGCAAGAGAGGGTAAATACAGACACTCCTCAACTTTTCATTGTGTTTTAACCCCCTTATATAGAGTAGAATAGAACAGAACTTTATTGATCCCCTTGGTGGAAACCTCAGGGAAATTGCTGAAATGTATATTATATATATATATATATATATATATATATATATATATATATATATATATAATATAAATTAATTTAAATAAAAACGAACAAACAAAAATTCTCGTCACCATCTGCTTTTGAGTCTACCTAGCAAGCCGTTTAAGCATTTAGCAGCTATGGATGTCTATAATTCAATTCCTTGTAGTCAAAAACAACATTTCAGATCTCCACAATAACATTGTTACTTGACCAAAGCATGTCATTTTGACCATTCATGTGTTTCTCGTCACTTGCAGTTCAACTGCTAAAATCTGAAACTGAATTCTGACGAGTTGTAATTTCAGTTTCAGATTTCTGCAGTTTAATTCGGACTCACCATAATCCTAGTTGAAGATACATTTTTCTCCCCTCAAGTCAGCATATCTAAATTGTCTTTTTTTTTTTTAGAGACCCTTGTATTAGGTTTGAACTGCTCTGAATGATTTTGTAGATATCCTCAAACTGGAATTCTGCCTTGTCAGAATTGAAATACAGATATCTAGAATTCAAACTTTTTTTTCTTTTTTTTTTTTTTTTAGATTGAAGTAAAACATACAATGAAAGACGTTCCAGCCTACACTAGCATGTCTTTTCCATCAGTCAGTCAGTCACTCTACTGTCAGGCTCTTAAAGCTACAGACTAAATATAAATGATGGACGAGTTTGAAAACTGAAGCCTTAAAAACCTGCATTCTTTCAAACAGCCAGCAGGGGGCGACTCCTGGGGCTGCAAAAAGAAGTCAGGTTGTATAGAAATTTATGAGCAAATGACCCGACTTCTCCCTTGATATATTACCTCAGTGAATATTTGCCAAATGAGTTAATGGTCTCAATTGCTAGTTTCAAGTCTCCTTCAACACAGTGCAATGTTTATTTAGTAAATTATGGTCTAATTTGAAAGAGCATAGATGATGAAGCAGAGGATTATTTAGGTGGCAGTCAAATCTGCTTTCAACAAACCAAGTAACAAATGTATAGTCTGTGTTTAAAGCTCAGAATCATTTAGCAATTTCCACTCAGTCTCTTTGAGCTGTAATTCCCAGCCGTTTTTTTCTGCAGCGATGCATGCCGTATGCTCATTTTAACCCATTTCCTCGTCAACCACGTTATCAGACAATCGATTATTGGTTGAAACGAATGAACTACAGCACACATTTTTTTCCACATGCTAATTAGAAAAATGCTTTTTAACAACTAACACTTCATAAAGTTAGAAGTCAGAAGAAGAAATAAACGAAAGGTTACTGAATTGTGTATCAAAACAGCAAAAAACAGCGACTCCATTTAAAGTTACTTTTCAGTGTCTTCTCTTAGCTACATGCTGAAAATCTCAATTTTTTTGAGGATTTTGTGGTCAGAAATGATGATGTCACTTGGTTAACCTTTAATTAGCTTATAATGATGCTGTTTTTGGTTGTTGTTCTTTGATTTGGTCTGATTTTAGTGTCCTGCTGCTTTCAGAAGGGTGACTCTCATGACTTTATCCTCGCGTCCGTCAGTCTCACTTTGTCTTTTCTTGTTTTGCAGTGGCTACTATGGAGGCGAACCAAAGAAAGTCTACAAGGCAGCCACTACAGAGTCAGACGCCAGAGCTTACGTCTAAACTCACACATCTGCACTGTCGTCATCAGAATGTTTTACAGACTCGCTTTTCTTTTTTTGGAGGCTCAAACTCTGACTTCGTCTTGATTTACCACAACTGTAATGTTAAGATAAACACCCTTTTCTGCATCCTCAGACTGCTGTCTTAGACGAAGTCTGGGCCTGACACCGTTTTTCTGTCATTTGTCTTATTTGTTTTTGAAGAGTTTGAGGTGAAATCTGAAATCCTACGAATCTATCAGGTAGATTGCTGTTAATGATTGTTTTAATCCTGTTTGGAGTTTATTTTTACCTGAATAAAGTTTGTATTACAAAATAAAACGAGCTGTTATGGTTGTTTTTTTTTTTTTTTACAGCATCCACGTTGTGATGCTCAAATTAAATGTAAGTGTTGTAATAATTGTGCTCATGAATTGTTATTATTGAACAAAACAATGATGCAAACCTTGGATAAGATACAATACACCATATACAGAATACGTACAGTACTATATTCATAGCAAAGCCTAAAATCCATCCAGTCACTTTGCAGCTCTTTTTGTGAGTCACCTTGTTGTTGTTGTCGGTCTCTCAGGTCTTTATAGATGTGTTGTTTTTTTTGTTTTGTTTTGTGTTTTGGTTTTTTGGTGATCATTTTGTGTCTCTTGGTGTTTTAAAATAAAAATGCAAGTCTTAAAGACCCAACCTTCGTTTCCTGTGTTGCCTTTTTAAATATGTTTGTCCCTTCTTTGGGCCGTGACACTTGGTGCCTTTTTGCACCTCTTTTTAAGTCATTTTCAACTTCTGTATGATCATTTTTAACCTTTGAATACTAAATGTTTGTCTTTTTTGCCTAATGTGAGTCTCTTTATAGTTAAATCTGAACTCACTATGCATGTCTGGGGTAAGCTTGAGTCTAGCTGTGAACATTTTGAGTGTTTTTGGGCTTGTTTTGTGTTTTCTCGTAGCCATTGTGATTCTATTTGTGGTTACTTTGTGTCTATTCATGGTCGTATTTCACCATTTTTCGGTCATGCAGATTTTTCCATCACTATTTTTTTTTTTTTGTCCCTTTGAGCTTCTTTCAGGCTCGTTGTCCCTTTGGCAATTATGAGTCAATTTGTGGTTGTTTTGAGTCTGTGCAAGTGTTGCATCTCTTTATGTTAATTTTGTGTCTTTTTCGATCAAGTTTTGTCTCTTTGTAGTCATTGTGAGCTTTTTGTGGTTGCTTTTCATCTGTACTTGAGCGCCTCTGGTCATTTTGAGTCTGTTTGTGGTCATTTTGCACCATTTTTTGGTCATTGCTAACTGTTTCAGGCTTGTTTTATGTCTCTTCTTAGCCATTTTGAGTCTCTTTGTGGTTATTTTGTGTCTATTTGTGGTCATTTTTCACCTCTTTCTTTTGCATCACTTTTTTGCCATTTTGAACTTTTCAGGCTCATTTTATGTCGGGTTTTTTTTTTGTTGCCACCATTAGTCCCTTTGTGTTCGTATTCAGTTTTTATGGTCAATACAGACCTTTTCTTTTGGTCATTTTGCGCCGCACTGTGGTCATATTGCATCACTTTTTAGTCATTTTGAGTTTCTTGTTGTGACCATTTCAATTTTTTTGTGTTCGTTTTGTGCCTACCTTTGGTATTTTTGAGCTTCTTTGTAAGTCTCTTTTTGGTTGTTTTGAATGTGCTTATGGTCCGTTTGTGGGAGGCCACTCTTGTTTGTTGGTGCACGTGAACACTGAGTGATTTCAGAGTGTGTGTGCTGCAACCTCCAGCCTGATAATGATGATTAATGCAGCGCAGGCAGTAATCCACCTGCTGACAGGCAGAACAGTGGATTAAAGCTCCACAGCATCACTGAGTCTATCTATAGACTCTGGATCAGACCTGCTGCTCAACCTTCAGCTGCCTCTGAACAAACTCTGCCTGTCAAAAGTCCAAACATGTCTTCACTGTTCTGCCTCTTCACACACAAAACATACCAGACATTATTCGTGGTTTGATATTATCCTGCAGTTCTGTGTTCGTAGTTTAGAGGTACTTCACTGGAGAATTTACAGTTTGGAAAATTATGAAAAATCCTGCTTTTATTAATCGTCCGGCAGCTGGAAAGTCATCATAAAAACAGAAGTAAGCAAAGAGTAGAATTTATTTCAGGAAAGTTTTGTTGCCATGTTTGAGTTTATTTGTGATTTTCTGTCATTTTGATTTTCTTTGATTTTCTTGTTTTTCTGTCACTTGGTTATTATGATTTTCTATTTTAAAAATAATAATTTCAAAATTGTGTCATATAAAAATGTGTGTCGTATTAGTTTTTTTTAAATGTTTAAGCTTCTACTTTATTTTATTTGTTGCATTTTTTTTTTCTTTGTGGTCGTTTTGTAAAATTTGTCCTGTTTCCTGTTTTTATTAATAGTTCTAAACTCTACACTCTTTTCTATTCTTTTCTTTTCTTTTCTTTTTTAACTCTTGATTTCTTGAATATTCGTCTTTGTTTTTCAGTGAAAAATTGTATTACATTCCACTGTTTAAATGGTGCGGCAGAAATACATTTCTTTAATATAAATATTTTCGTGCTGCTGCAGCAACAGGTGTGGAAACCTGATGGAAATCAGAAACCCAGGTGAAAGCCTGATGTGGGGATAAAGTGAGAGTTGAAGCTGAGTCTAATCTCACCCTGTTGTGCTGACGGAGGAGAACCGGCTTCAATCGGCTCAGTCGGCTGCTTCACGTGAAGTCTGTCTGTCTGGACGTCTGGATGTTGTGATGGATGAGAAGGTGGGAGGGTCAGAGTTCACAGCGGGGTCACCTGATTGGCTGACAGGGGCCGTGATGGACAGCAGCTGTTTCCATATAGAGCCTCAGTGAGCGTCGCCCGTCTCCTCCTCTGGTTCAACAACAGTCCGACTGCAGCTCAGGTGAGTGAGAAACACAACATTCTCACACATGGACGTCCTAAAATCTACCAAAACCTGCAAACACACCAGAATCTGGAAGCATGTACCAAAACTTACTGAAAGATGCTGTGCTGTGACTTGAAATGTTCACTTTGTTTTATGAAAATATGATTTCTGAGACTCAGTTTCACACAAAAGTAGAGAAATTCAAAATACAAATCATTTTTTGCTTGTAAAGCATGTCGTTTTGTAAAGCGTAAGTCAAACTAACAGCACTTTATTTGACTACTTTAGCAACGTTTGTCACTTTTCTTTTCAGGAAACGTGATTTCTGGGCATCAATAACAAACAGAAAATAGAAAAATGTGTCATTTAGACTGAAAAACTAAAGATTTATTCGTCATGTTGGGAGTTTTTTTGCATGGAGGTGTTTTGGAGACAAGAAAAAATAAATACCAGTTTTTGTCAGATGTGAGCGTCACAGTGATATCTAATTACGATTTTATTAATATTTTATGTACTTTTGAATTTAAAACCTGCAGGAAATTCTTGCTTTTTAATGCAGACCTGCTCATGTTGTTCTGGAGACTTTCCAGACGTTGCTGGTGTAGTTTTCAGAGAGTCGAGGTGAAGCAGTTTTTAAAAGGATTAAGAAGCTCAGCAGAGTTAAATCTGTTCAAACCTCTCGGTCATACTGACTCAGTTAACTCAGCAAGAAGAAGCTGTTTATCTCTGTCAACAACAAATACAAACAAAGTCCTCTGTGGTTTCTTCTTTAAATTAACCTTTATTTTACGAGCCATTTAGAATAAACTCTTGTTGTAATTTTGACCTTTCAGAAGATCTGATATTATAGACCTGAAATGAACAAATAATATTCAGTTTTTCTACTCTTCTGTGTCTCTTTTAAATTTCTTTGTGATGGTTTTGCTTCTCTTTGTGGTTATTTCTCATCTGTTTGTGTTGTCTACGCCTCTTGATGATCATTTTGTGTCTCTTCCTGGTCATTTTAAAGTTTTTGGGGTCTCTTTTTTTCGGTATTTTACCATCTTAAGTCTCTGAGTAGTTGTCACGAGTTTCTTTGTGGTTGTTTTGATTCTGTGGTCATTTTGTTGTTTGGTGTCTGTTTAGAGTCACTTTTAGAGTTTCTTTGAGATCGTTTTGCATCTGTTTGTGTGACTGTTGCACCTTTTTGTGATCTTTTTGTTTCTCTGCTTGATCATTTTGAGCTTTTGTGGTCATTGTGAGGTTCTTTGTGGTAATTTGGCATCTGGTCATTTTGACTTTCTTTATTATTGTTTACATGGCTTACTGTTCCTTTGGGGTTGTTTTTCATCTTCTTAGCTCATTCTACATTGATATTTGGGGCAGGTTGTTTTTCATCTTTTTGTGTTGTTTGCACCTCTTTGTGATCTTTTTGTTCTTCTATTTGGTCATTTTGAGTTTTTGCTCATATGAAACTGTAGAGTTAAACCCAACATGAAAACTGCATTTAAAAAGATGGCAGATTATATAAGTCAGTAGTGAAACTCCAAAAGAAATCCAGGTTTTTGTGAAGCCCCTCAATGAAGGGAAGAACGTTTGATCTGTCTATTGAATAAAGTGCAACATGAACACAGTGGTTATTTTAGAAGCACAGAGCAGCAAAAGCAGCTTTTTTCTTTTTGTTGCGCCGTAGTTTTCTGACTTTGGGTGTAGCTTCCAACTTTAAAAAAATATATAGCTGGTTATATATTGCACAGTAGTTTTCTGTTACTTGTCTTTATGGTGAGTTTGTCAGACGCTGTTATAAAATCAGGATTTTATTAGTACAGAGCAGCAGCTTAGTTACTGTGATTCATTAAATTACAGTAAATGTGAGCACAGAGAGCAGGAGAGCAGAAACTAAGCGCCTCCTTTCTTTTTAGGTGTTCGTGCTGCTGCCTTTGTTGTCCTTCTGTGATCGTTTGTTTTACTCCCAGATTTGTAACGCTCTGGGGTTTTGGAAACTTTAAAAAATTTAACCAATTTGGCTGCTGCTCCTGCTGTATTCTGAAATTGTACCACAGAGTGCCGCTGATCAATGACTGGAGCCAAAAATAACAACACCACTATGCTGTGATACTGAAGAAAACAGTGGTTATAAAGAGCTGAAATTGAAACCAAAGTGTAGAATACAAATATTGATTAATTTGACCCATTATTTTCTTAAAAAATTAATCAATTATTCAAATATTTGCAGTTGTTGTCAGTTGTTGCATTTCTCGTGTGTACACAGACACAAGGCTTGTGTACATTTTTATTTAACCTCGTGTAATACCAAAGTGTTGCGTTTGCTTTTTAATGTTATCTATTGTGTTTGTAGGTTAGTATTCAGTATTTGGATACAGCACTTGATGTTAAAATGTACTGTTTACTGTTATGGTTATTTATTGTTTCAGCACCATCTTTGTTTGGATTATGACTGACTCTGGATTATGAGAAAAGGGTTAAAAATCTAACCTATTTTCATCCAAGTTTGTGGATGACAGAACGACAGAAATTGTTGAAACGAGACCTTCTGGGGACAGTGGAGTCGTTTATTTGTTTATAAGAATAAACATGAGAGGCACAAACTCTTTCTGTCCTGTGGTGAAAATTGTACTGACTTGAGTTATTCATACTTTAGTTTTATCTAAACCTGAGGATACTTTAAGTTGTTTTTAAGATGTTTTGGAAGTTGTAGTTGAATGGAGACATTATTAGAAACAAAGCAAACCTTACTGTCAGGGAGACGCCTGATAAAGTACCAACCAGCAGAGACACTTGTGTTGGTAAAGCACAGAAATGTAGTGGATTCAACAGTAACTACAGTTAACACCCATGTGGTCCATGACAGGGTGAAAGTAACACTTTGTAGAGGCTGAAAAAAATATGTTTTTTTTTTTTTCTTGACAGTTTGAAGCGCACCGATCACACAGAATCAGATCTTTTGGTTTCTCCTTTGGGTCACTTTTTCATATGTGGTCATCAAGCCGATCTTTCAGTCACGTCCACAGACAGCAGCTGGAGCTCAACAGAAAAGACAACTAAAAATGTTGCTCTTTTCTCCTCGTATTCGTTATCGTCTGCTCCTGAATTTCTTTAGCTCCTGCTGCACAAACTGTAAACGCTGGTTTCACTGGTCTCTCTGTTCACTTGTGTACCAAAGAGTTCTGCATGTGATTTATTTGCTGTTGTTCTTTTGCGGATCAGTTCACACTGAAACCTGATGTTGAATGAATTAAAAAGAATTAAAAATGTGGACAGTCAAACTCAAAAATCAGAGCTGAGTAATAAACCTGACTGGAGCTCTTGATCTTGGCACTGTGAACACAGACGTTGTGTCTTCAGATGTCTTCGCTTTGTGTCACTTTCTTTTGTTGGTGTGTTCTCTATCAGTCTGTACAGCTGAAACATTTTTCACAACAAAATGTTTAATTTCAGTCAGTGTTAATAATTATTCATCATTCTTAGTTACCTTTAAAATAATCAGTTTTGATTCAAATTGAGCCACTTTAGCCTGTTTATTAAGTTTGTTAACACAACACTGAAAAACACACAAAAAGACAAATTTCCACCTATAAATAAGGATAAAGGATTGAACTCACCTTGAAGCACATTAATACATAAGGAAAAGGCTAAAGGAGCTCCATTATCAGCAGATATGATGGGCTGTGTATGACACAGGCAGGGAGCTGAGAGTTGCTTCACTAAGCTGGACTCAACGTTTTATTATGTGCCTCATGAAGGTTTGCATCTGATGCCTTTAAGTGAAACTATCAGTTTTCTTATTGCTGCTGATAAATAGTCAGTGTCGCTATCTGTTTATCATTCAGATTCAAGTCTACAATCAAAAAACCATCATCAGTGTCCGATAACATGAACTGTTTCATCTACATAACCACCTGCTGTGAGTTTTGAAAAGACCTAATTTCTCTTTTTTTCTTTTCCTTCTTCTCCTCTCAGGCACCACAGACCAACTGCCCTCAATCTGCAGCAACATGAGTCCAAAAAATGTTATTTTCAAGAAGATTTGCAAGGACAAGTCGGTAAGTGAAGCACAAAACCAGAAAAATTATCTCACTGTACCTTTACATACAGTTTCACTCGCTGTAGGAGCCCCAACACAACACTCTTTTTATTATTAATGGCTGGCCTCCCAGGTAGAAAAAATTACCTGGATTCAGGTAAATCTGACATTAGAACGCTTTACTTCACTTTTTTCTTTGGCGTTTTTGGGCCTCACACCTGTCTGAGCTGCTGCCCATGCATGTGAGGCCTTCAGGGAACATTAGTAAATTGTTACTTCGACTGACTGAAAGTGAAGCATTGAGGGGGAATAATTTGTTAAACTATCATTGCGTATGAACAAAGGTGACGCATAAAATGTGGTGCAGAATGTGGTTGCAGTTAAATGAAGTTCTAGAGTAACCAGTTTATAAAGGCGGTCTGGAGTCCAGGTGACGTCACATGAAGTGGATTTGAGTTCAGTTTTCCATCTCGCTGCATTTAATTCTGTGAAGTAGTTCAGCTGACTGATCCTCAGAAGGTCGACACAAAGTCAGCGTCTGCTGAACGGGGCCTGATTTTATTTATTTTCAGGTTGGAGTCTACATGGGGAAGAGGGACTTCGTCGACCGTGTTGACTCTGTGGATCCAGTCGGTGAGTTTTTGGATCAGCTGTAAAAAAAAAAATAACAACAACGAAAAAAACAAACGCACTCAGATTCTTTACTAAAAGTACCAATACAGCGATGAGACTATACTTCATAACTCCATGAAACAATTCCTACCTGAGCATTATTAACAGTGAAGCCTCAGTGTGTCAGCAGCAGTTTACTGTTGGAGCTGCTGCAGGTTTGAACTACGTTAGAGCTTCATCATTTATTTCTGTAAAGGGAAATAAGAAAAAAGACTTTCTCCTCTCTGAGGTGGATATTTAAGTCTTCAGGCAGACGTGTCACCTGAAGTAACCTCTGTGCCGATCCAAGGTTTTAGTGTCTCATTTTCTCTAACAATGTCTAATTTACTGCTGGATTAACTTTACTCTCCTTTTAGGTCCTGAACCTTTTTCTGATGTGGCTGATCTACACATTTATTCTAATCTTTGTCTTAGTTTACTGTTGAGTTTCATGAGCTGAAAGATGAAAATTAAAATGTGACTCTTGAATTGCTTCTGGCAAATGTCTTTGGCACACATCAATTAAATAATAGAAAAAAAAATGAATGAATCAACTCAGGCCCTGGAATGTATTTGTAATGTGAGGCTTCCTCAAAAACAAACTCAAATTGCACTTCAGAGGCACCTATTTGTGTCATAGGACTTATTTTAATTGTCCCGTTTAGTTAAAATGTAAAAACACTGTTTCCTGTCACTTCCATCACCTGAGAGGGCTTTGTGTGTGTTTTGTCCTCTAGATGGCGTCATCCTCATCGATCCTGAAGCTCTGCAGGGCAGAAAAGGTCAGTAACTGAACCGTCCAGACTCACGATTCAGTTCAGCTCAAGCTCAATGTTTATGCCTGTTTTATCCTTAAAAATCCAGTTTCACTTCCCGTTAAGACCTTTAAGATTGGAATGATTATTTTACTCCACAATTTGATATTACTTGGCTACACCAATGCCAAATTACAACAAGCCTTATGATTGGTTCATTATTTTAGATGTATTCAACCAAAACTCACTTAAATGAATGAGCCATTTAGCAGAAAATCACACAGAAGTCGTTTTTGATAATATATTGAACATTTAGAATCACTTTTGAAGAAAAAACACCAAATTTCTCTGATTCCAGCTTCACAGAAAAGAAAATATGTTTAGATTTACTACTGTTAGTTGGAAAAAACAAGACTTTTATTTTGTCAGTTTGTGATGGTCATTTTTACATTTTCTGACATTTTTTATACAGTTATTGGTGGATTAGTCAATAGTGAAAATAGTTGTCAGAGTGTTTTTTTCTAGGCTTATTTTGAAATTTTCATTAAAAACAAATGACAAATATTCAGTGAAATAACATCTACATTTGCAGTAGTTTGAAACACAAACTATACAAATGATGAATGCCTTTTCACACTCGATGTGCAGACAGAGAAACAGTTTAATCTTGGATTTAAAATGTAAAAAGAGTTGTTGTTGTTTTGTTTTTTTTAACTGAGTACATCTGCTCTGGCCAACAGTGTTCGTCACCTTGTCCTGCACCTTCCGCTACGGCAGAGACGACATGGATGTGATGGGAATCGCCTTCCGCAGGGAGCTTTACCTGTCCACCCGCCAGGTGTACCCGCCGCTGCAGGACCGCGAGAAGGGAATCCACACCAAGATCCAGGCCAGGCTGCTGCGCAAGCTGGGAAACAACGCCTACCCATTCTTCTTTGAGGTGAGGAATCGGACTAAAGGAAGCTGCTTTTATAATAATATTATTACACTGAGTAAGTGGAGTCTGCTCACCTTGTTCGCTTAAAAGGTCAACCTAAAAACTAGTATTTGCAGCATATGAAATCACTGTAACCTGGGTATTTTATATAAAAATGATGAGAACAAGCTGGATGCAGAGCAGCTGCACATACTCATCTGATTCCTGAAAATATCTCAGCTTATGATCCAACACAAGAACTGCTGAGGAATAAAACACTGACAAGTCAGCTGCTGTTTTTCGAGGATGGTGGTTTTTGAGCTGCGATACACAAACTACTGTTTGCAAAGTTTAAACTCCACTTTTTGAACAAAACACAGCCACACTTTAGATAGTTTGGAGTGGACTCTGAGTAAATGTTAAATAAGTTAAACTCCACAGTGTCCATCAGGTTGGACAGGTAGTCTGTTCCTCCCACTGCCAAAAATAATGGATTAATCCTGGAGGGCTGTTCATGTAGAGCTTTTTTTGCACATAGAAGTATCATAGGAGATTGATGAGAGGTTGATCACTTCTTGGATGCTACCTGCTAGAACATGTTATATAGAAAACGCTGTGTACAAATAGGGCTGCAAGATGGCTCTGTGGTTAGCACCATCACCTCACAGCTAGAAGATCCTGGTTAGGACGCCTGGGATCTTTCTGTGTGGAGTTTGCATGTTCTCCTCGTGCAGTGTGGGTTCTTCCTCCCACAGTCCGAAAACATGTTGAGGTTAATTGGTGATTGTGAGTGTGCTTGGTTGTCTGTCTCTAAGTGTGGCCCTGTGATAGACTGGTGACCTGTCCAGGGTGTTCCCTCCAGTCCCCCTGCAATCCTAGTGAGGATTAAGCGGTGTATAGATAATGAATGGATGGATGGATGGATGGATGGATGTATACAAATAGTTTAGTTCAGGATCAGGGACATGAGCTAAACTGGTTTCTGTTTATTTCTGGACAGAAATCCAGAAGGCTTTATACAGAGCTCAGCTTTGGACATTAAAATGACAGAATTAAACAGAATAATCCAAACTTTGCTTTGAAAATCCTGCAGTGGCTTGCGGGTGTTTTATTACAATGAACTGGAGCTCTGAATGCTGCTGCTGCATTAAGTGACGTAAACACTTTTTTGTCCTCTCAGTTTCCCGACAACTTGCCTTGCTCTGTGGCACTCCAACCAGCACCCCATGATGTCGGCAAGGTAAGATCCTGACAGAGTAAAGGAACTGAAGTAAAAACCTCACAGGATGGTGACGCCTCTTCTCTGTTCTTGTTCAGCAATGTGCTGTTGAGTTTGAGATTAAGGCGTTCAGCGCTGAGAGCCAGGACGCTAAAGTACGCAAGCGGTGAGTCTCAGCTGGTCTGTGTGAAATACAACTGAATCACATGCAGAATTTGTAAGTTTGCATTATTTCCACACTTGTTCTTGTGTCCAACAGGAGCACTGTGAAGCTGATGCTCAGGAAGGTACAGTACGCTCCAGAGGGCGAGGGAACTGCGCCCTGTGTTGAGACCACCAGGGACTTTGTCATGTCGGACAAACCGCTGCATGTCAAGGCCAGCCTGGACAAAGAGGTGGGTCACTTCATCCTAATCTTTAGTCTGAAAAAGTGAATGTTCTTGTTCTGGTCTGCATCAGGATGAAGGCAACCATCAGTCAGGATGGAGGAGTTTTTCAAAACCAGCTGCGACATCCAAAGTCTAAAATTTTAGATTCAGTTCAGATTCGTCACAGCTGCAGCACAATGCTTGTATAACTGGTTTAAACAGACTTTCATCTCAAATACCATTTAAAAAACAACAGTGCTTATGGTCATGTTATTTTAATCCAGATGTTTCAGATCTGCAGTCCAGGCTTCTAACATCTTGTCATAAACATCATTTAATTCATTTTTATCAATCATTTCTGTAATTTCATATTAACTAGATTTTTCTAAAATTCCTTAAGCTTTATTTTAGGGAAAGGAACTAAAGGCAACAAGCAGTGTTAACCTTCTGAACCCTGAACAGTTTATTTGGCATTTCTTGCTGTTGTGACATTCTTCTTTCCTGTGGCTCAGTTTTCACTACAATCTAAAGTCCTGAACCTCTGAAGAAACAGAATAACCATGAAGAAAGAGAGAGAACTCGGAAATATCTTCTGTGCAGAATGAAACAGTTCCAATGCCATAATTCATAAAAAGTTGGATTTCTTTGATAATTTGGCAAAGAAAAAAGAAAAAAGAAACTGGAATCAACATTTACAACATCTTCCAAGTGCTCACAGTTGTTACCAGCACCGGAGAAAAATGGTGGCTCCATATACTTGAAAATATTTAGCCGTATATTCACCTGTTTCCACCTGTTTTTCTCTCTGCTCATTAGCCGTAGAAAGATGTTTCACCATGCTGAATGTATCCTCCAACAACTTGCTGCTCTGTTCACTGTTTTTGATCCATGCTGCGTTTATTTTATTGATCCAGTAGGTTTGGTTTTCCTCTCCGCTCTGTGGAAACACTGCCTGCAGTTCAACCTGAAAACTCTTTGAATTTTAAGTCAGTCATGAAGAAAGATTTTTTTAGTTTTTACAAAATCTACACTTGTCATTTAAAAATTTGCCAAAACTGAAGTGATTTTGATCAAAGTTTAAGCTTAGATTTGGCCACAAGCCACGCTTGATACATTCAAGGACCATCGAAAACTTGAAAATTCAGCAGTTCTTACTCTTTTTACTGTTTCTAGCTTTGATAAATAGGGTGAATATGTTTTCAGAAAACCTACCGGAGAGTTGTGTGGCTCAAAGAATTAAATCTAGATATATTTAGACAGATTTCTCTGTTTTCAGATGTATTACCACGGTGAAACCATCATAGTTCACGTCAACATCACCAACAACTCCAACAAAAACATCAAGAACATCATCCTGTCTGGTAAACAAACACTTAAATGCTCATATAATTTATTGTGCGCCCAAGTGTTTGCCCTTAGTTGCATGGTAAGAAAATAAATAATAACCAGAAGTGGTGTAAGTTTATCCCAACTGATCTTTCTCCATGTCTCTTTCCCCCTCAGTTGACCAGGTCGCTACGGTGGTGTTGTACTCCAATGATGCCTACGTCAAATGTGTGGATATCGAGGATTCTGGGTAATAGACAGCAAACACTACATCAGACCTGCCACTGACGATTATTTTCACTGGTGATTTGTCTGTCCATTTCTTTTCCCTGATGTATTGGCGAGTTGTTTAATACAGTGTCAGAAAATAATGATAAGAGTGGATCAGTGTTCCTTAAAGCCCAAAATGGCAAATGTTTTTTCCACAACCCAAATATATTCAGTTTACTGTCACAGAGGAGGGAAGAAACAAGAAAATATTCAGATTTTTTTTCACACAAATTACTCAACAAGATTATCAATGGATAATCTTATCAAAAATAGTTAATGATTCATTTAATTGCTGACAACTGGTGACGGTTAATTGTTGTAGCTGTGCACCACATTACAAAATAATGAAGTGATTATAAGTAGATTGCAGAAACAAATTATCCATCCATCCATTATCTA